CACAGTTATTTGTATTTAAAAACACAAGAATTTGGTGCTATTGACAACGGTAATGACGACATTCGTCGTCGTCCGGTACAACGGATACAGTGAATGAAGCGCTGTAAATTTTCTAAGAAAACTGCGTCAGACCTGTCGTCTATCCACTTTCTGAGCGATAAACAAAGAAAAAAGAAAAAGCGAGAAAAAAGGCTTTTTTAAAGTGAAGAAGAGATATCAGTTACTAGAAATGTACATAGGCTGTTTCGAACTGGATTAATAAAATTGTAATAGTAATAGTTGTACTAGAAACTTGTGACCAATTTTTTTCATTCGTTTCCTGTTCCTGTTTTTTTTATTTTCTTTTTTTTTCTCGCAGTAAGTAAACAGCATAAAATTTTTTTGCTACTAGACTGTAGAATCACGTTGAAACTGATGTTTATTGTTTTTTTTTTAGAATCTTCGCGCTAAAGACAAAAATGGATTTTCGGACCCTTATGTTAAAATGTACTTGTTGCCTGGACCACGAAAGGTAGCATTTCTTTTGCTTGTTAACCGCTTAATTTGATGCACACGTTGCACAGTTTGAAGTTTGCGTCTCAAAATATATAAATAGATAAATGGATGAAAGGCGAGGTAATTTAGGCCACTAAGCTTATCACAAAAACAATTCCACGAACGCTAAATCCAGAATGGAACGAAAGTTTTATATACTATGGTATCAGCGAGGAAGATCGCCAAAATAAAACGCTCAGGATGTTGGTCATGGACAGAGACTCAATTGGATCAGATTTTCTTGGCGAATGTCGAGTGCCTTTAAAAAAACTGTGTTCTGGAATTGAAAAGAATTTTAACCTATACCTGGATCATGCAATGCCTGTAAACTTTTATCAGTTGTTCACAGTTCTTAATGTTACCACCAGTTCAACGTCATTTAGTCGGATAACAGCGATGAATAATCTATTTCGCATCGTAGCTGGTTTTTAGGTAGAAAAAGTGGCAAGAACTAGCGAAAGGGGTAAAATTTTAATTGGTCTAACGTATAACGCACAACAAGATTTACTGTATGTTTCGATAAGGAAATGTGTAGAGCTTATCGGACTGGATCCGTCTGGTTTTTCAGATCCTTACGTAAAAGTGTGAGTATTTTTGATTTATATCATTCCTTCCTTCACTAGTCTCCAAATTTAGTTGACAGTTTTAAACGATGGGCAACAGTAATGTTTTCAGTAATGTTTAGTGTCTGTTTAATGTTTTCAGTACCATCACTCCAATGACAGCCCGTACCCAACGTCAAAAAACAGCCACCAAGAAGAAAACGTTGAATCCAGAATTCAATGAGGTTAAATGCTTTTCATTTTACTGTTTATAAAGTGCAAGTTTTATAGCATTTTGTAGAAGTAACGCAAATATTACTTTTATCTATCATTTAAATTCCTTTTTATTTTTGTCTCTGCGCCATTCTTATTTCTTGGCTTTCAAAAACTATTTGTCACAGATAGTGCTGGTTTTTTGTATTACAGTTATAATTGTCTACAATTGCAGACATTCGCCTTCTCAATTCCGTTATCTGAATTACCGACAAAAACACTGAAAGTTGAAGTTTTTGATTATGATGTCGCCAAGCATGATGATTATATCGGTTAGCGAAAACTATATTTCATAGGTGACTATCATTAGTAAGAAAAAAAAATTACTTGATTATATTAAAACTTTTGAGTTTAATGTTGTACAGGACAATAGAAAATAAAATCAGTTGTCTACTGTATAGGAGGTGTCGTGTTCTCGGCGTCAGCGAAGGGCGAAAGTCAACGTCAGTGGCTTTACTGTATGCAAAATCCTGGCAGTTTGACTGAAGTCTGGCATAAACTTGTCCTTACCGATTGATGAAACAGCCCAGCTACCCTGGAAGATAAATGCTGTAATAGAGCAAAAAAAAAAAATTGGATTCAACGATTTGCTGCCGTTTCTACCTAACCCGTCCAAATATTTGTATATTTAATTTATTTAACTTATTTATTCCTTTAATCATTTTTGCAGAACTGACAACCGTTGGTATCAACAAAAGTTTTATTTAGATTTTTTTCTTTTAATTCATCGGAAATGCTTTTTTTCTGCTAATATATGATCTGAAATTTTTGAAAAACAGGGTTTATAGTGCGAGTCGCATTTGATTTGAGGTATCAGTTGCAAAATATTGTCAGTTTTGTTAACCGTTTTGACACCGCCGAGCTGTCTTTATCTTCAAGGTACTTTTCACTTAGAATCCTTTTTATTTCTTTCGGTTTTTCTTTTTCTTATTTTTTGATTTTTTAAATATCGGTAATTTAGAACAAATTTTCCGTCCCGTCATCCAAATTTCCTCCTCCTCCTCCTCTTCGTACAGCTCCACCACTCCTCATCTTTTTTCTCGCTTTTTAGTTCCACAGATTCTTCTCTTAAGGTATAAAACAGGTACCAAATATTTGGTAGAAAAACAAAATAAAGCATCGTGAAACCATTTTTATTTGCTTTTTTTTAGAACTAAAAATACGTTTAAAAAAATTCTTTTAGTACAAAAAATCAAAACGGGTTTCATCACATTAAGCAGATTAAATTTTATTTTAACATATAAACCGTGATACACATAGGTGATTTGAGAGCAGAAGAACAAAGCTGAAAACTCACGTTTACTATTTGACGCCTTTTTTTTTTCAAACACGCAAGTACACACGAAACCACAACTATGTGTATATTTACCAGACATGTTTATTAATACAGACAAAGAAAAAGCGATATCATTTAGTTTTCCTAGTTTTTTTAACTCTTCTGCAACGGGTACAACAAAAGTAGTTTTTCGTTTTCCTCTTTTGTTCCGCTTTATATCCTTTTTAACGTGCTGAATAATCGCGGGTTGTCCTTATTTATTTTATTTCTTTTGTCATGTGAAGTATTGCCGATATTCTCTTGCTCAGTAATTTCAATACCTATTGATCTCAGTGGAACTTCGTGTCACGTGGCTTTTACCTTCTTCTTTTTTTCGCTTTTGCCCCTAACTCCAAAACGAACAGCTAGAAATTTAACAACAAAAACGCATTAATTTACACCTCAAAACGCGTCAAACTTTATTAACACAGACTCCACCTCCCCATTCCAATCCTTCTTTGCTCCCTTCTTATTTTTGTTCAAAAACTTGCCCAGCCATTCAGCAACCCCGAAAACTGGAAGAAGGTCACACAGTGTACACGCCTAGATTATCATTTGTACAGTTTATTTTTTTGTGATTGTAACCATATCGGAGTTTTTATTGCAGGTCTTTTCAAATAAAGTTTTTCTCAACCATTATCTTTTTTACTTGGATTGTCAAGTAGTATAATAACTGAACAAAAACTGATATCAACAAACACCAAAAAGCACAAATTTTCATTACTGTTAATAGCCCACACATCCTGCAACACTTAATGACAGATCAAAAAGTTACACAGTATGATTAAGGGTAGCAGAGGACGTTGTAACCGGAATATTTGCCGTCTACCTGTATGACAAAAGAAGCATCATTTGAGTGAATGATTGAAAAAACATATGATATAATTAAACAAAAAATTAACAGTATATGCGTCTTCCAACTGTACACAGCACATAAACTGCTCTAAAACAGTAATTCTAGGAAAATGAAAGAAAAGACAAGTCATAATGTAAATAGTTCTTGATAAATGATAAAGACGATGATCAAAAACAGTGAAAAACCCAACAAAACGCAAGAAAAAAATTAAATAAATAAAATTTTAACAAAAATTGGAAAGAAAATGTGGTACAAAACTAGAAGGTTTAGTCAAGCATCTGACCAGCAAGCACTCTTGAACTTCCTTCTGCCTTTTTTTGCTTCCTATAATAAAAAACGTTTAGTATTTTCAAGCCATTGAACACTGTCTAATCAGCAGGTCGACTAAACATCAGTGACCGTAATATGAACCATCAAAAAACTCCTTGTTTCGGAAGGAAAGCTAATGCACTCATGTTCATAATAAATAATAACAAAAACCGTCGAGAACTGTAACGGGCTAAACTAAATTTCAAAATAGTTCCTAATTCATAAGATTATGCCCGGTTTCAAAACGTCATATAAGAGGGGTTTACATCACAACACCCATCATGAATAATTCGATACTCCACACATACATTAAACCTCAAAATTACCACAGCTTTTTTAAATACATCTAACTAAACACCATGATTCTACAGTTGCAATTCCAGTAAAAATAGCTTAAAACCGGTTGGCATTTTCTTGGAAATCTCCCTCTGGGTGGCATTCAAGAACTAACGGAGGAATAGCAACATCAAAGAATGAGCCATCTTCTCGTTCCATTTTGAACTTCCCCCTAAATTAAGTTGGATCGAATAATTAATAGGTAAATGATACAGCCTTCACCTAGTTCCTCAACTTTAAATACGTATTACATTTATGATTTGACTTGAACTAGCATGAATGTCTGAAAAAACTACCTAAACAAAGTTATATAAATGTTACGAACAAGCCTTTAAATGGTAAAACTAAATGAAAAAAATAAAACAGTGAACTAGTGCAAAAATCACAGTGATTCAGTTTTCAAAAGAACTATTAGATTATTAGATGAAAGTAGAAACGGTTCCCTTCAAAAAATATTTAGAAAAAGAACCTATAAAAAAGCTTAATTAAAAAGCAATTAATACACTAATAAAAACCACTAAAATCTTTGCTCATCAATAAACAACTTATAAATTTCCTATAAACAATAACAAAGAGTGTAATACATACACTTGCTAAAAAGATAAAGGTGTATCTAAATTTGAAATCAAACGACATAAAGTATAACGTACCACATATGAGCACCTTTTGGCTGCGGCAAGTTTATTGTACTGCTAAATTGAAAAGCTGGCTCTTGCGATGTCAGACGGGGATTCTATAAGTCTTTTATAAAGTCTTGGAAACCTAAGAAGAATCGAAAATTTAGTCAGAAAGTCTTGGAAACCTAAGAAGAATCAAAAATCTAGTCAGAATAAGAATGAAACAACAGAATAATACCATTCCAACAACGCCTGATGCATTTAACTGTTGAAGGTTATTGAGACTAAAAATCTTTAACAGCCTTTCCCTCACAATAATTGTCGTCCTTTCCAAATTCTCCACACGAATTGAGTACCGCCACTAAAAGCAACAGGATCAGTTGTAAAACGTGACTGAAGAACATTTCTAATAGTCTTTACCACCAGATACTTCAACTTACACAATGTCTTTGTTGACCATTGATCATATTCGCGCCGAGGTAGAATGTTATAACTAAGACCTGCAAATGAAAATGGTATGAAATTTAACAATGTAAGTAATTAAAAAACAACTTTTAAACAATAAACTCTAAAAATACAAGACATTTGTTCTTTGATAAATGGAAGGTAAGATTAAGACCAACTTGAACCCCATTTGTCGTTTCCTTGTAAACTTCTTGAGGTAAAAGCCAAGATCGCTGAGTTGCCAAGTAATGAGGTAACAGTTCTTTTTTGACACAAACTTCAAGATCTAAACCTCACTCTTGCCTTATCCAGACATGTAAATCTGGCAACAATCCAATCAAAAAAAGCAAAAATGCGCCAAAGAACTACAAAAAACCCACTTGACTCTTCCGTACTTCCGGATCGAACCTCAAAGATTCTTTCAAAAAGTTCGTGATCAACAGGTTTAGTTTCACAAGAGGCATACGGTATGATCTCTTCGTGTGCTACACAATCCATTCCATGTATCACGGCAAGTGGACGCTCGCCACGAGAGTTACATTCACCAAGATAAGTTGTTAAGTCTGTAGGCATGCGCTGCAAAAAGTATTGAACAAAAATTTTCTAAAGACAATGTCACATTAGGGCATTACACTTTTGGAATAAAGAGGTGCTCAGCTGTCTTATAGATAAATTTGAAAAATCATTTTACATTCTTCAAAGTTCACAAGCTGATACGATGAACTCGTGCGCCTCGGCATCAGAAAAATAACAAAATATTTTTATAAAACATGAATTAGAAGTCAAAAAATTTAAAAAAAAAA